AAATTACTTCTGATTCAAGCCAAGCAGTAGACTAAATCCTCTATTTTTAAGCAAGCTGATGAAGTGACAATTCTGAGAACCAACCCCTAAATATGCACCTTCAGGGATGACCACCCAATTAACTCCATTCTTGCTGACATTTCCCACTGTGCTAGAAACTTCTTAATACACATTAGTTCAGCTGAAATGAATTCCACGAGAATGAAAGATAGAGGGTGTTTATCTCCTGTACCCACAAAGAAGCAAAACGGTATTTCAGGGCTTTGTGGAAATAAAATCATGACGTGCTGTTCAAAGTAAACTCGTGTAGTGGAGCTACTCCCAAATCATTCCCACTAGATTAACCCATCAATTTTCAAAACTAAAAGATGTCAATTAAAGCCAATGGGTATCACAAAGCTAAAATTTCCTACGATGCCTGAAAAGGAGCAGCCCAACAATTCTTTTAAAAAACTAACTATCCTATCACTTTACTACACAAAGAGGATCTCCAATTTCTTAATGTTGCTTTCCCTGAAATACACATATAGTCTGAGGAAAGAAGAATTAGTACTATTGAGAGGCGCCTGGGTGGTGCAGTCACTGAAGCGTCTGACTTGGTTTCCACACAGGTCCTGATCTCTGAGTCACGAGACAGAGCCATGGGTCAGCCACTTCACTCCGGGCAGTCTGCCTGAGATTCTCTCTCTCCGCCCCTCCCTCGGCCCCTCCCCTCTGCTTGCACGTGCACTCTCTCTCTAAAATAAATAAAAAAATAAAAAAAAACTATTAGTGCTATTGCACTGATTTTCATTGCTAGATAGACTTTCCAGAAACATTAACCAATTTAATGTCCTTGTGAAAGAGGTATTCCAACAGAGAAGAAACTACACAAGATCACACAGTTCACCTAAGCCCACAAAGTCAGCCAGCATTTTTCTAACGCATAAATAAAATATTAGAAATAGTCAAGGCCATTAGATTAGAATCTGACAGTCCATCAGTATTTTAGGATGATGTTAAAGAGGACACATTTAGGGATTTTTCAATTAGCAACCTAGGCCTTCCTACACAGCCAAATGAAAAACGCATTTTGAAATTAAAGAATTACTTTGACAGCATCTCTAATATTGAGAAGCCCAAAGCCTGAAAATTCAGAAAAATACTGATGACAAAAATACCTTGAATTTTCCACAAATTCCAAGAAGAGTCTCAACTGATCTGAAGTAGATCTGAAAAAGAACCAGGATGATTCACAGAGATCTGTGACGACCATACTACATGTAGATGGCTCATCAGGATACTGGAAAACATTTGCTGAACTTGTCAGATTCAAGAAGCTACTTTTAGAAGCCTACATCTAAAATGTCTATTGAGTAACTGAGGTTAGGAGTGAAGCAGGAGAGATGGACGGAGAGATGCTGGGATGACAGGAGAGAACCAAGGACAGTGGAATACAGAGCTTTAATGCAGCTGTCTGTCATTTCCAGAGATGTATGAAAGCCTTCTAACCTCCTCTGTTCTTTTGATTAGAGTCAGGGATGGGCAGGGGAATAGTTCAGCTGTAGGCCCCCTCCTTCAAGTCCAACAGTTGTAACTAACTTTGTGGGTGTGTGTTGTAGGAAGGCTAGAAGGGCAAAGGACAGGAATTGGTAGATGGCAGCCATGGGGAAGAAGGACAGGCAGTAATCACAGCTTAAACCAAGGGTTGGTACACTTCCTAGAGTTTCTACAGTCTAGAAGAGAGCAGAGAGTTGGAAGGGAGAGTAACAAGAGACCCAGAGAGTATAAAACGTCTGGAGACCAGAATATCAGCCAAGGTTAAAAAGTGGTCCATAAAAAAAAAAAAATTGGGCCATGGGATCCAGGTTTCCAGCTAGAAGGATATTAAAAAGTCAGCAAATACTTTCCATAAAAATCAAGAATAAAACTGGACAAAATCACAACGAACAACCACTTTAGGGCTCTGGGAATTGATCATCAAAGTCAACAACACACTGAAAAATGTTTATTTTGAAAAATTGCTAGAACTTAGGAATAAATACAACAGAAGTCTGTGGCCTTCTTGCCAGGGGCTGCTCCCACCCCTACCAGCTTGGCCAGTGAGAACTTAGTTCTATCAGGAGAGGTAAGGTGTCTCAGTCGGTTAAGTGTCTGCCTTCGGCTCAGGTCATGACCCTGGAGTCCTGTGATTGAACCCCACATTGGGCTCCCTGCTCAGCAGGGAGCTTGCTTCCCCCTCTCCCTCTGTCCCTGCTTGCATTCTCTCTCCCCATGCCTTCTCTGCCAAAGAAATTATTTAAATCTTAAAAAAAATAAAAGATAGGTAGGGCTGGCTGGAAATCCAGCAGCTTCGCTGCCACAGGGGGTGGACTTGATTGGGAGTGGAGGTGAAAACCTTCAGCTTTGTCAGCTAAAAGTGGCAACCTTGATGGAAAACAGACAAGGAATACCCACAGCTCCACTAGCCTGAAATTACAGTTCCCACTGGGAAGATGGTCAGACAAGCCAGAAATTTAAAAGGGAGATCTTGGAAATGAAAGAGTCACAGAAGGCTGAGATCAGCTCACTCCGTACCCACGGCTGACTGGGACACTAGGAAAGTACACAGGGGAGACTCGAGAGAGCCCAGTGGCAAGCAGACTTTAAGGCTGATGGAGGAAGGTAGTTGCAGCCCACGAACAGATCAACAGGCAGCGAGCAGAAGCCCTACAGACTCGAGGTGTTTGAGCACAAGGTCTGCCCCAATCCCTGGCTGAGCACTAAGCTATGCACAGGGACAACCTCAAGTAAGAGAAGCTACAAAATAAAAAAATAAGAATTTTTAAAATGAGCAGAGACATCCACAGCTGCATACTCTGGGGGAGATAGATTCTGCAGTCTAAAAGTTACTTTTTTTTTTTAAGATTCTATTTATTTATTTGACAGAGAGAGAGAGCACAGGTAGACACAGTGGCAGGCAGAGGAAGATGGAGAAGCAGGCTCTCCACTAAGCAGGGAGCCCGATGTGGGCCTCGATCCCAGGACCCCGGGACCATGACCTGAGCCAAAGGCAGACGCGTATATTACTGAGCCACCCAGGCACCCCTAAAAGTTACTTTTTAAAAGCCTCAGAAAAATAAATCAGAATCCACAGTTGTTACCATATATTATCTAAAATGTCATTTTCAACAACAAAAAAATTACGCTATGCGAAGAGAGAAAAGTGTTAGGAAAAAAAACGTCAATAAAAACTGACAGAGCAAAGCCAGGTATTAGAGTTAGCGAAGATCTGAAAGCAGCCATTATAAATAAGCCCAAAGAATTAAACTATATTCCAAGAATTAATGGTAAATAGAACGAAAATGACTCAACCAATAGAAAATCGTGGGGCACCTGGGTGGCTGAATCAGTTAAGCATCTTCAGGATTGTGAGTTCAAGCACCATGTTGGGCTCCATGCTGAGTATGGAGCCTACAGAAAGAGAAGAGGAGGGGAGGGGAGGGCTGAGGAGGGAAGCGGAGGGGAGAAATAGGAAGAGAAAGAGTGGAAGGAAAGGAAAGGATGAAGGGAAGGAAGGAAGGAAGGAATAGGAAGAAGAGAGGGGAGAGGAAGGTAAGGGAAGGGAGAGCAGGAGAGGGGAAGAGAGGGGGGAGGAAGGAGGGAGGGAGAGAGGAAGGAAGGCAAGGAAAGGAAAGGCAAGGAAGAAAGGAAGGGAAGGAAAGAAGGAAGGAAGGAAGGAAGGAAGGAAGGGGGAAGAAAGAAAGGAAGGAAGGAAGAAAGGGGGGAGGGAGACAAGAAAGAAAGAAAGTCACAACAGAGAAACAGAAACTAAAAAACAATCAAATGGAAATTCTGAAATTGCAAAGTACAATAACCAAAATGAACAAACAGAAATCTAAACCTCACACGTAACACTCTGTCAAGTATATTGTAATCAAATTTTTGAAAAAGTAATCTAAACCTGAGCTGAAGGATTTCTCAACTATAAGCCTCTTATTCATTTGTTAAGTGGGGATGGTATTATTTATTAATAGTACCTACACCTAACAGAAATGAAGAGAGGATACAATTAGTTAGAACAGGTAAAGTACTTCCTAGCACACTGTGAACATAATAATTGTTAGCTGCTATCAGTTATCTTCATCATACATATTTTGCTAGGGAAGGACATCATGGCTGCCCCCGGTCCAGAAAGTTCCTCGGGAAGATGTCTGACCTAGGGAGACAGTCCCTACAGGCAGCTGGGAAGAAAGACGGTAAATCCTAACTTATACTGGAGAAAAATAATATAGCCAGCCATTCTCTGATACTTATTACTTTGACAAAATCTCCTAGTTACTTCATAATTATATAATTACTTCTACATTTGTAACTATACTGTATTTTTTAAGCATTTGTTCTTTTTTAAGATCTTCTCAAGTTTTTACTTGAGCGTGAAATTCTAGGCAAACTTGTTTTCTATATACATATATTCATACCTACATATAGAAATGACTTGAACATCTGTATCCTAATAAGCTCTCTTACATCATTTTGGTGCTAGGATTGGGGCAACCATCATCAGAATGGAGAAGTGATTCATATCATATCAGAAAAAAGAGTTATCAAAACCTAACACGCTTTGGCCGAACCAAGGTAACCTGCCAGCCGGCTACTCTGACCCGGGGGGATTACCCAGTTTGACTGAGGAGACTTCACTTCCTACCAGCACACTTATTTCTTTCCCTTTCGGGTTTTTACGGGGTTTTTTTTGTTTGGGTTTGGTTTGGCTTGGTTTGTTTTTTTGTTTGTTTTGTTTTTTAAAGATTTTATTTATTTATTTATTTGACAGACGGAGATCACAAGTAGGCAGAGAAGCAGGCAGAGAAAGAGGAGGAAGCAGGCTCCCTGCTGAGCAGAGAGCCCCATGTAGGGCTTGATCCCAGGACCCAGGGATCATGACCTGAGCCGAAGGCAGAGGCTTTAACCCACTGAGCCACCCAGGCACCCCTTGGTTTGTTCTTTTTGTTTTGTTTTTTTGTTTGTTTGTTTTTACTCACTCAGTTTTTGGAACCGCTTTTCGCAGCCAGAAGAAATCAGACTGTGCTAAGTACTTGCGGGTTTGCAGGACATTGCCAAAGTAGTCGGATTCTGAAAACTTGATCTGAATAAAACAAACCACAACCATCATTGTTCTAAGTGCAGATAAAAGAAACAAAGTCTGAACAAAGTCTTCAGCACACAAACGAGCAACCAACAGAGAAGCTACACTTTTCCGGACACCTCTCAGCTGTCACCAGTTAACCCAGTATCCACAGAGCCATGGAATTTAATCTCCGTGATTTTCTTTTACAAGAAAAAGTCCCCAAATCAATATGATTATTTCTGGATCATGGTAAACAAACAAGAGATGCTGCAGTAATTTATGACGCATTTCATTTGCTTTATAATTGAAAAATCTACTTTAACCTTTATAGGACATATCCTCTTAGGTTTGAAATTTCTTGGCTCACACGAGTCCTTGATCTTTTCTGAAATGTGTTCTTTATTTATTTGTCACATAGGTTCTTCTAATAACATTCAGTTTAGTCAGCTGAAACCTCATTTAGCTTATAGATGATGATTTAGTCAAATGTTAAGATCCAATTTACTATAATCAGCATTTGCTCATGAAGGGAAACAATGCAAGTGGTTCAGAGATTTATTTCCCCCGCTAAGCACAATGGAGTCACTAGAATCATTTCATTATTAACAGAATTTGTCTCTTACCACTCAAAAAATTCTCTGGTCTCTAAAAATTAATGAAACTACAGAGGCAAATCATAGATTACAGCTTGCATAGAAAAACAGAAACTTGAGGCATCACAACAATTTGTGTATTAAAATAGGGAGACAGACATAAATGACTCCTGAGTTCCTTTTCCTTTTTTGGAAGGAGAATGGTAAACAGTTGGATTTCTCTAGGCATTCTATCTACAAAACAAGCAGTACTTAACCTAAATATTGCAAATAATATCTGCATAACAGTAAAAGCAATAGGATATAGTGATGGCTAATTCTTTGGTTTGAAAATATAGTACTGGGGCACCTGGGTGGCTCAATTAAGCGTCTACCTTGGGCTCAGGTCATGATCTCAGGGTCCTGGGATCGAGCCCCACATCACATCGGGGCTCTCTGCTCAGCACGGAGTCTGCTTCCCCCTCTCACTCTCCCTCTGTGCTCTCCCTCTCTCAAATAAATAAATAAAAATCTCTAAAAATATATACTACTGTGGCAAATAAAATAAGAAAAATACATGTTTGAATAAGCAAATAATCAAGAGTAACCAAAATCTCACTAGCTGTAATTTTTTAAATAAATTTAAACCATACTCTTCTAAAAGGAAAAATTGAAATATAGCAAATGCATGTATGTGAAATCCACAGGCATTACATTATAAATATGAATACACGCATAGCAACTTGATGGCTATAGATTTGACAGTCATCTATCTGCTGGCCAACATCAGGCTCACGTTCATCTCTTCCCTAACGTACGAAGGATACTCATTGTATCTGTGGAGTAACTTTTGTTAATGATTCATCTTGCTCTTTCCAGAGGTCAGGCCAAAATGTAAAGGAAGGAGCAAAATAACTAAAGGCACAGGGAGAAAGGCAAGAATGCAAGTATGGATTCCTGGCATCTTTGGTGTTCTACCTGACCAACCAGCTATAAAGATAGGACTTTAAGTTGTCCCTCCTTCAAGCCTCTTAGCGGGGTGACTGATAAATAAATTGTGGTATAGTTCCATAGTGGAAAATAATACAGCAGTTTAAAGAATGGTATGTATGCATGAACATGAGATAATCTCAAAAGCAATGCTGACTGAATAAGGCAAATTGTATGTATGAGAGAATTTAAAGTTTTAAATCATGTAAAATGATACTGTATGTTGTTTATGGATACATACCTATATAGCAAAAGCATAAAGAAATACATGGAAATAATAAACACTGAATTCCAGGTAGTGTTTATATTTAGGGAAGGAGGTAGGCAGGAAGAAAGGACATTATTAGATCAAGGCTGATTACAAAAAGAATATCCAATGTATCTTGCTCATTTCAAATGTGTACGTGCATTATAAAGCTAATGCAACAACGTTTAATATTTGTTAAACTAGAGGTGTTCCAAATAGGACTTTACAGACTTTTCCAATATTTGAGATGCTTCAAAATAAAATCCTATAATTGATTGTATTTAAAAATAGAAGTTTATAGTCAACCTCAGAAGAAAGAGAGTAAGCTCCTTGTTTTAGCAAGCAACCTTAACCAACATCCTAATGCATTCCTGGGTCATATAGTTAAAAGATGTGTCCACTGTTCAACCCTTAGCCTTTTTTTTTCTTTTAACTTTTGTTCCCAAGACAGCTCTGACAGATCCTTCAGAATATGAGTGCAACTGATGAAAAATTCAGATTCACTCTTGGGTTCACAACACTTTCCGGGAAATTCTCTCAAAGGAATTACCTTCATAAATATTAACTTTTCTTTTTGGTAATATCAGTGGGGTCAATTGTTACTTTTGGAAGAGTTTGCTAATTGTGATACTTTCCTGTTCAATTTGAAAAAAAAAAAAACAAACAGAAACCTTGATATTCAGGTTGTCCTATAGATATTAAATGGAAAACCATCCAAAAATTTCCTTAAAAAGAACAGTACTGAGTAAAAATATACCTTAAAATAAATAAGGTCCTACCATTGTCTTAAAAATAATCATGGGGAGCAAAACTCAGAGGCAAGTAATTACAATTAGCCAATGGCTTATCTATGTTTAGAAGGGCAATTTTAAGGTTGTTTTAATTATTAAACAGAATATGCACTATTTCTCAGCCTAATTTAATTGATCTATTCCATTTATTTAGTGGAAATCATAGGTAATAGGGGACAAAATTTTACTTCTTCCTGTGATACCGGTTAAGTGTTTGGGGGTAGGGAAGGACTAGCCCCTGTTATTCCCAAATAATAGATGGGGAAAAGAGCTGAGGAGATTACGGAACTTGGCAAAGCCATACAGTTTAAATCATGAGTTTCCTAACTGCAATGTTCCTTTCATTGATCCTTATAAGGAAAACCGTGACTAGACAAAAACAGTACAGGGTGGTGGCTCAATGGGTTAGAGCCTCTGTCTTCAACTCGGGTTGTGATCCCAGGGTTCTGGGATTGAGCCCCGAATCGGGCTCTCTGCTCAGCAGGGAGCCTGGCCCCCCCCTCTGCCTGCCTCTCTGCCTACTCTATCTCTACCCACTCTGCCTACTCTATGTGATCTCTATCAAATAAATAAATAAAATACTTTTTAAAAACAGTACAGGGAAGGAGGAGGCAAGGGTAAGAATTAAGGGTGGGAGGAGAAGCAGTGACTAAATAAGTGATGGCAGTTTACTTAACATCATATAGCTGTTAAAATAATGCTAATTTGTCTAGGGAAGTCAAGACCAAAACAACGGGTTAATGGTAAAGGTCAATAGACAAAATTATATATGTGTCAATTTCAGCAATATAAAAACAAAAAGGCAAGATAACATGGTGAAATAGAAGTATGTATTATTATGTGCTAGTACCAATATTATGAGTACTTTTTCATGCCTTTTCTCTATTTCCCAAATTTTCCACCATGTGATAATACATTGATAAGTGTAAATATTTCAACAGGCCCTTGAACAAAAGGAGAAACAACTATGAAACCCAGCTACCACTGGGAAAATTCCACTTGTGGAGACAGCAACAAGAACAAATGTACATGAATATTTGAAAACCACCTGTAATCTTCAAAAAAAAAATGCTTAAATCCTGCAACGGACAATAATTGGCTTGAAAG